GTTTTTGCCTAATGTTTCTGCAGACTTTAGGCACCTGAATAATCCTTTTCAGCTCAGGGACTTCCAAAGTCACATATGGTTTCTGTGTACTTCCTTAGCCTCCATGTTCTCTTTTGTGAACCTGCCCAGTCCCTCTTAGAACCTAGGACTGCAGTGCCCTTTGGCAAGGAGTTCCACAGCTCTGCTACCCATTACAGTACTCATGTTATTGCTCTGAAACAAGAAACCACTAGCTTAGTTTATGGGTTTTTTAATTGGTTCTTGTAGTTCTTGGAGTAGAAAAGGTGATGAACGTCAGAGACAAAACCAGCCTTTCTGTTACACTCATCATCTTGTATTTTTATCATATCCTTCCATGACCTCTTCTTCTCAAAATGAACAGTCCTAGTTTATTTAATCGCTCCTAGTAATGAAGCTATATTTTTATCACCCCTCAGCTCTACTCTGAACCTTTTTCAGTCCAATTTTCTAATGTTTTATATAGAAGATAACAGGAGCACCACAGTGAACCTTAACGAGAAATTTTAATTCTGTTGACCCTCTTCTATGCCAAGTAATATTGTAGTTCTATAAGTAATACTAGAAATTTCAATCTGACTTGTAGTCTTTCTGGTTTATATTTTCCTCATCTTTAAAGCAGGGATAACAGAAAATACTTCTCTCAAGATTGTTAAGAAGATTAATGGAATTATTTTACTCTTACTGACATAAGGAACACACTTAGTACTTCCTCTGCCTCTTGGACCAAAAGACAGACTGTTTGGGAATTATCTAAATGGCACAGCAGGATTGCATAGTTGAGATTTGAAGACATCTCTGAAAAAGTAAAATAGTACAGTGTAGAACTGGAGAACAAGTGACTGGATTTTAGTTCTTTGAGTACAGCACATGGGAAAAAAAAAAAAAAAGGAGAAAAATGTAGGAAAAACTGGCCTATTGGAACAGAATTGGAACAGAACCTACAATTATATATTCTTCATGGAAAGGCTGGCAAGGGAGGATAACTTTGTAACTATTTACTATAAAAATGAATTAAAAAACATTTTTTGAAAATGACTTACTGGAAAATCTTCTCATCTTTTGAATTTGACAAAACAGTATAGAAAAGACTTTGTTGTTACCCTTTGTGCAGTTATTTCTTATGGCACAAAATAACATTAAAGCTAAGGCTTTAGCTAATCTTCAATAACTCTGAGACTGAAACTTGAAAGACTAAATTAACCCAACGCACAGACCAGCTTCATTTTACATTAGATGTGTAGCTTTTTAAATGCTGATGTCTTTTTATGGGTTAAACATACTAAAATTGACAGAAGAGACATTATAATCTGTAACATATAAAATGCAACAGCAATGAAAAGCAAGCTGCTGTTGTGAATCATAGTTACCATAGCAATGTATTTCCATAGTCACAGATTAATTTATAATAATCGTGGCTTTAATAAAGATGAATGTAAAAGTTACCAATAGCATTCATGTGATTTCCTGTATTACAGATTTTCACTGTTTTACAAGATAACTAACAAATGAACAGTCACCAGAGAGGAAACATGATAAAATAAATTAGTATTGGTTTTCAGTTCCTTTCTTCCAATCTGCAAAGAAACCTTTGAAATCAGTAACATCAGATCTGGGACAAGTCAAAGCCAATGTCCAATCAATGATCTTCTGTTAATTTTGGTGCAGTCTTAGCAGGCTCATACTTATATATATAAGACAAAAAGAATAAAAGCTTTCAGGGCACTACAATTTCCATGCCATGAAAATTACTTAAAGACTGATTATTGAGCAGTATGTAGGAAGAAAGACAAAAGAAACCCCTACAGCTTCCCAGCACAAACTTGAAAATCCTCATTAAGCAATGATACATTTAAATATACATGTATCAAATGCTATATGCCACACATAGAACTAATGAAATCAAGCTACACATTAAAGTAGCAAAATTCTGCACTGAAATCTTATGCGTTTTCGGTAAAACTATTGTGCAAAAGAAATAATTTTTTTTAATAGAGACATTTCAAAATTTCCATGAGAAAAAAATTAAATAGATTTCACACAATAACATAAGCACTGTCATCTTATTGTTACACCAATGTAAAGAACATACTGCATGAAATCAGAATAGAAACAGATGTTGACTTTAAAGGATAAAAATAATTACCATCCTAAATCCACACTTGAGGATGTGAGGGAAGATAAAGGGGAACTTAATACTTTTACAGATTTTGTTATTCAAGTTCAGTGTTATAATCAGCAAATGGATCATGATGATAAAGCACATTTGCTAGGACATTGATTCAGCAAAATAACTTGTAACATTATTTAGCTGTACAAAGGGTGTAAATCTCAGTGAGCAATTAAAAGGCAAGAAAAGATTGAGGAAAATCACCAAATTACTCAAGGGAAAAAATCTTCAAGACACTATTTCTGTGTTATGCTGCTGCATGTTTATTATATGTGCATAAATTCAACCCAGTGAAAAACTGGTTATTTATTAAAAAAGAACCTTGTTGCATTTTTTGCATTTTTTATGTTTTTTGCTTACAGTCTAAGCAGGAATTAATACTGCACATCGACAACTGAAACACCAATTTACTGCAATTGTTTACAAATTGAAGGACATTCCCACTTCCCATATGACAGATTAACCTAAAGGACCTTTCAGGTGTTATTTTTTTCCAGAACCACAATACTAATTTCATTTTGCTGTACACTAGGTGGTACAAACATAGTAAAATATATTTTGAATCTGTAGGAGATAGAACATAAAACAGAGGTTATGCTACATGTCCTCAGGCAACTGCAGTGCCCCTTTTGGTCTATAAAATGACTGGGATAGATGGTTGGCTGGGGAGTTTACACAGCCCAGCCATATATCCATTCAAGTATGTACTCATTTCTGCAAAGACATAAAGTTTAAAAGATGTCTGAGGATATTGAATGTTTGTCCCAATCTGTGGATATCCTCCAACACAGTAAGGCAAAATATTCAGAAACCTCAGGCACGCCAGCTGCAGCCATTCCTGTGACACATGCTTCTGAGCTAGCTGTTTGCTGTTAGTCTGGTGCACGGGAACAATATATGGAAACTTGATTATAAAGGTGCAGAATTTAGAATTTTTCTTCCTGGCACATCTTTCAGACTTGGCCTTGCTAAAGGGACAATGATCCCTACTTTGAAAGTGGCAAGGTGATTTTGTGAATGAATATCTAGACAATTAGAAAACAAAACAAAACAATACTCCAGACTATTTTGCAGTATCTGCAAGGATTTTGAGAGAGCTGTCACTTTGGACAGCTGCTCATTCTGTACTTTGAAATACAAGAGATCAGAGTGGAGTGCCCTGCTCAGCCAGTCTGTTATCAGGCATTTACAAGGCTGGACTAGCTTTTCATTCTGAACTGGTTACATTCTCAGTGGTGGTTTGCTTTCTAATTATGGAGATTAAAGGCCTGTATCTATTCAACTCTTCTTTCAAATCAATATATTTGATAATTTAATGTTGTGTAAGATGTCTCTGAAGCCACATGGTCTGGAGCCTCTTGCTGTCTCTGAAAACAGTGAGATTATGTCTGCTTACATTAAAGGTCTGTGTGTAACTCCCAACACAACACTGATATGGGAGATGCAAAAAGTCCATGTATGAACCCAGCAACAGTACATAACTGGAAGAATAATTACTTCATAATATCCAGCAAACTGAGACCCTATTGCTGAGCTCCTGCAAAGAAGCCCCCTGTAACTAAACTAACCTGCTTGGGAAGCTTCATGCACTTGCACTCCACTGATGGTCTGAATTTTCATTGGAATCTTTGAAGAATGACATTGTCATTTATAATGAAGTTTTCACAGGAAAACTATTGTAGTTTATTTTGAAGCTTAGTCAGAAGAAATAAGGCAATGCTAGAAAAAAAACAGGAAATACATCTATTATAGTTTATTTGTCTAGTTTAGGGAAAACAGAAATAACAGCAACTTTTATGTAACCCAGAACAAGTTTTCTGATCCTTTTAGAAACAGCAGATTTATTTATGAGTTTGCAATGTTAAATGCTCTAAGAGCACTACATTGCTGTTGGAACTTCAAAATTATGTTTTTATCTAGTAAAGATTAAAATATTCAGAAAGATCAAGCTGTTTCCCTATATCTGAGCAAATGAGAAAACTTGAGATGTAAGTAATGTATCAATAAATATTAACTCAATCTATTTGTTGATATTTGGTTTTGTTAGTGATTTAATAAGTTACAGGCTAAATATTTTATATGAAAAAACACTACCAACATGTAAATATGTTTGACTAGTGAGTTTAGAGTTTATATCCAGAAAAAAAAAAAATCAGCTTTGATGATCTATTTTTATTATTTAAGATGTTGCATGAGGAGTGTGTCCATACATGAAGACTTGAGTTATGTGTATGTATTTATTTTCTAATAAAGCCAGTGGTTTGTGGCCCAGAACTTGCTGATAGGGTAATTTGACCCTACAAACAGCATTTAACCAGGCAGGGTGAATGAGATATGGTCATGCCTGATACAAACAAAAAGGTGCAGGTTCACTGTACAAAGTCAGTACAGTGACAAAATCCCAGTATGATGGATTCTTTAAGCTATTTTTGTATGTATAAGTGTCAAAACAGAGTGCATAAGGAGATACGTACATGCTAATGTAAAAATACAATTATATTTCCAATATTCTAAGTCATAAGCATCTACATATTATGGGAATTAAATAACTGGAAACTATTCAGTCTGCTACAGCTCTTTCTCCAGTGATCATATTCCTACTGTGCTTTTGGGACACAACAGGCAACATAAAAACTGTCTTTAACTTGGGAGAGCATAGGCTCTTCTTAAGAAGGCTAGTATTGAAAGAGATTAAGACTTTGACCTCTTAATCTGTTTTTCTCTGTTCTTATCCTGTGGGCAGCAACACCGACAGCAGCGCAGGGAAGGGCTGCAAGGCAGCTGCACAGCGCGCAGCCTCCCGGCCGGCCGGATGGCGACAGCAGGTGGGTTCTTCCCTCCAGACTCGGGCCGGGATGATCACACGGGTGAGCTGCCCATGCCTGCACTGGCAATTCCAAACTGCAAAACCAGTCCTGTGGCCACAGCCAACCAAACTGGTTTGGGCTGCTGCGTTTACTATAGCGCTTGTTCGCAAACTACACAGAATTATAGGAGGTGCTTTGCACGACCCTCAGTTCTGTGCTCTTTTCCTGAAGAAAAGCACCGTGCAGCAGGCTCGAGGCGGGGCTCCGGGCCCAGCCTGAAGTGCGGGGCCCAGCCAGGGGCCGTGCCGGGACACCGCAC